CTTCCAGTCATTCATTCATTCTTCTTCTTTTTTTAAAAGATTTTATTTATTTATTTGACAGAGAGATAGAGAGCACAAGTAGGCAGAGTGGCAGGTAGAGGGACGGGGAGAAGCAGGCTCCCTGCTGAGCAGGGACCGCCGATGCAGGGCTCCATCCCAGGACCCCGGGATCATGACCCGAACAGAAGGAAGATGCTCAACCGACAGCCATGCAGGCGCCCCTCATTCTTCTTTTGAGAGTAATATTTTTCAGGGTCTATTCTGGGCAGGTAAGGTAGTGGTGACACAAGAGTGAAAAAGAGAGACAGCCTCCCTCAGAAAGTTCACAGTCTAGGAGGTGACAAAGATGAACAATTATAAAATAGAGTGATAAGAGCTATGGGAAATACTCTCTGGGGACCAAGGAAATCCACATCAGACCATGGGGCCACAGAGAACTTCCTGGAGGCAATGACATCTGAGACAAAACCTCAGGGAGGGTTAGTCAACGAGACAAACATGGGGAGAAGCGTGGAGAGACAGGCAAGAGAAAATTCTGTCCCATGGAGGAAATGTGAGGCTCAGGAGAGAACAGCTCACTGGGGTAGGAGGAAAACCAGAGATGAAGGTGGAGGGGTAAGCGAGTGACTTCCATACTTAGAATCTTCCAATAGTTTTCTGTTAAACTCAGGTAAAAGTTCATACAGCTAAATAATGAGGAGGAAGGGGTGGGGAAGAGGACCATCATCATCTGACCCTTCCCTTAGGTTCATTTCCCCCTTTTTCCCTCCACTCCAATCTTTGGCATCCTGCAGTTCCTTGTTTGCACCAGCTGTTCCCTCTGCTTTTTCCAATGTCTGGTAAGACTCCCCAGGTTGGGCGGGGGAAATCTGGAGTCCCTCTGTGGACTGCCATGCTTCCCTGAGCTTGCCCCCACTGAAGCACATGCCACAGCATGCTGTATTGAATGAGTCTGTCTCCCAGCCTAGATGTGAATACCCTTGGAACAGGACTATGTCTTGCTGTCTGCTGTACCCTCAGGGCCTGACATAGTGGGTGCTCCATAACCATCTAGTGACCGGTGATGGAAGGTTGGGTCAACCATGACATATCATGTCAATGGACACTTACTTGGCTGGTAAACATTTATGGCAGCTATGATGCAATATAGGAAAGGCTGCAGATAAAATATTAAGGATACCAAATGACATGTATATGATGTAAAAAAGACTACCTAAGAAAAAAGACAGTAAAGACCTGTAGCAAAATATTAACAGTGGTTGTCTTTGGCTCATAGGATTCTGGGGATATAGATATATCTTTTTCTTCACTGTACTTCTCTCAATTTTCTAAAATTTCTTTAGTTAATAGGAATTACGCATAAGGAAATTATAGTTGAAAAAGGAAATTTGGTGGGCACCAGGGATTGGGGGAGTTTGTGGTCTTTACCTTGAGGTGAACATCATCCATCAGGGCCAAGAGAAATGTGTAGAGGTTCCCCAGGAAGAGTGCAAAGATGCGTCCCAGCTGCCACTTCAGTCCAATGCGTGGGTGATAATTCTCCAGGGCAGCAATGGTTTCAAACAAAGGGGGGCAAAACATACCAAGCAGGGACATCACAATTTCTACCTGAGAAATCAGGAAAGCCTGGATTACTCGTGTCATCAATATCACTTGCTTCGCCACCATCTCTGTACCCCCCAGGGCCATGCATCTCCATCTCCTTGTTGACTCCTCCTCTGCCTCTGGAGATGCTCTCAGGTCTCCACAACTTGCTGTATGACCTTGGCTAAGGCACCAATATGCCTGGAGCAGTCAGCATATATCCCACATATCATAACTCTGTGACTGGTTGCCATCATGATTGTTGCTATCAGTACTGATAAAAATAGCAATTTTTCTTTTTTTTTTTAAAGATTTTATTTATTTATTTCAGACACACACACACACACACAGAGAATGAGTGGGGGAGAGGGGCAGAGAGAGAAGCAGGCTCCTGGCTGAGCAAGGAGCCTGACACGGGACTCGATCCCAGGACCCTGGGATCATGACCTGAGCCGAAGGCAGATGCTTAATCGACTGAGCCACCCAGGCGCCCCAAAATAGCAAATTTTCTTTGAGAAATAAATGAGTTAACATATGGAACAGTGCTTTGTGTTCTGTAAAAGTCATGAGCTGGGCAAGAGTCACTATGGTAGCTCTTATCTCAGGAACATGGAAGACAGGAAGCTGAGATCACAGAAGGGAACTAACAGCAGAGGGATGTGGTAAAGTGTATGGCATCTGGAGTCAATTCTCTGGGTTTGAGCCCCAGCTCCATCACTTGCTGGCTTTGTAACTTAGGAAAAGTTATATAACTTCTCTGAGTTTCTTGTTTCTTCATGTGTAAAGTGGGAATGACAGTTCTTGTTGTGAGAGTCAGAAGAGATCGTGGACATAAGTCTACTAGCCTAGAGCCTGGTAAGCACTAAATTTTGGCTCCAATTTTGGGAGAATCCTGACTCGTATAACTGAACCTGATCATGGTAGAACTTTTTTTTTTTTGTAACTAAAACTGCTTATTTAGTGGAGAGTAAATCCTTGAACTGCTGACCAAAGTGCAGGTGGGTCAAATCTTCTGGGCTGGTTCTGACTCCCTTATACGCTATCACACTGACTGTTGGCTTGCCTTCTTACCACTTTCACACCTGCTCATGCAGTGCTTCACATCGGGAGGGCCATCGCCACACCACATCCACCACTGCCCTTCTTCACATGTTTGTTTAATGCATAGCCTAATTCCTGCCTTTGCCACAAAATCCCCCTGCCTCTCCAGCTCACAAAGAACTCTCCACCTGCCACACCTCTGTAACCCAAAATGTCTTAGTTGATCATATTCCTGCCCACTGCTGTTTGTGCTTTGGTTTATTCTTGTCAAGTCTGCTTCCTAAGGAAACTGCAATCCACTTAAGGGCAGAATCCATCTCAGGCATCTTTTGGATCCCCCTATTAGTTTGGTGACCTGATGTCTTAGATAAGTTAATTGTAAGTAGCATGTAGCTTAAAAAAATTCATTGTGATTATTATTGCCTTTAATTTTTAAAAGATTTTATTTATTTACTAGAGAGTGAGAGTGAAAGAGAGAGCACAGAGGGAGAGGGAGAAGCAGATCCCTGCTGAGCAAGGAGCCCGATGTGGGGCTTGATCCCAGGACCCTGGGATCATGACCTGAGCTGAAGGCAGATGCTTAACCAACTGTGCCACACAGGCGCCCCTATTATTGCTTTTAAACTGTAGCTTTAATCCATTTACATTTATTGTAATCACTGACATTAATTCTATCTGATTTTATGCTTTCCATTTGTCCTACCAGTTGCACATTTCTTTTTTTATCCTTTTTTGCTTCATGGGAAGAGATAGATTTTCTTATTATTTAATTTATTTAGCTCATGATTCTGTGGGTCCGTATTTTTTCTCTGGGCTTAGGTAGGTGGTTCTTTTGCTGGCCTCACGTGGATTCATTCATGTATCTATGGTCAGCTGATGGTTGATGGCTTCATTCATATGTCTGGTAGTTGACTGGCTATCGTGGAGAGTGATGAGATAACTGGGCCATGTGTCTCTCATCATTCAACAGGCTAGCCTGGAACTGTTCACATGGTGGAGGTCTCAGGGTTTCCAAGAGGGCAAGTTCCAATACACAAGCATTTTTCAAGTCTGCTTATATCATGGTTGCTATTGTCTCATTGCTAAAGCAACTCACATGGTTAAACTAGCTGGATTCCAAGGGTGGGGAAATAGATTCTACCTCTTGATGAAAGAAGCTAGAAAATCATATTGCAAAGAAATATAGGATTATAAGAAGGGGAAGAACTTGTAGCCATTTTGCCAACTACTAAAGATATTAAATTTTCAAGAGATTTATGAGTTCAATATAATCACAATGAAACTTTAATGAGTTTTATTGTGAATCTTGATAAGAGAACTCACTCTGCCAGACATCAAGACATACTTCAAGGCCATAGTTTATCAGTGTATTTTTTAGTGCAGGAACAGATAAATAAACCAATGGAATAGAATAGAGAGCCCAGACTCACACTCACACATTAACAGATACTTGATTTATGATGTATGGCACCGTAGAGCTGTGAAGAAAAGATCACCTTTTTAATAGTGGGTGCTAAGACAACTTACTATTCAGTTGACTGACATGCTAATTATAATCCAGCCTTGACAACCTATAAAAGCCTAATAAGAGGTGACTCTTTGTTCAAACTTAACTGGAAAGGGATGTAATTTCACTTTTTAAAACATGTCTTATAATCCAGATTTTCAGTAATTCAGCTGAATTGCATAGGAACCAGTATAATTTCCATGTTTGCCCTCAGTATTCACTTCTACAGAGATGTCCTTTTTACCTCATTTCTTTCATACCAGCTGACATTTTGCATTTTGGAGAATTCCTGGGATCGTTTCACCACAAAGTAAATGAGGTACCCACTTCCACACAAACAGCAGATGATAAGAAAGTTGGCCAGGACCCGGAGAAATCTTGTCAGATGGATATTTTCTTCTTTGTTACTCTCTTGTTCATCCACTATTGATTCCTTAATGTGTGGAAATAAGATGTGAATAATGACAGGCCAGGAACCAATGGGAACCATCATTGTTGGCTTCCTGAGATGACTACTTACTATATTTTCATAAATGAAATAATACAGAGGAGGTAGGGCAGAGCACTCTTGCCCTATGGGGAATTATTTTCTTTTTTCTGTTTTTTAAAGATTTATTTATCTATTTTTAGAGAGAGAGCGAGAGCACACAAGAGGTGGGGAGGGGCTGAGGGAGAGGGAGAGGGAGAGAGAGAATCTCAAGCGGACTCCACACCCAGCACGGAGCCCCACGTGGGGCCCAATGAGGGGCCTGATCCCATGACCCCAAGATCATGTCCTGACCCCAAATCAAGAGTCTGATGCTCAACTGACTGAGCCACCCAGGCACCCCAAGTATTATTTTCTTTAAGAAGATAGATCTTGTTGGGGCGCCTGGGTGGCTCAGTCATTAAGCGTCTGCCTTTGGCTCAGGTCATGATCCCAGGGTCCTGGGATCGAGTCCTGCATCAGGCTCCCTGCTCCTCGGGAAGCCTGCTTCTCCCTCTCCCACTCCCCCTGCTTGTGTTCCCTCTCTCACTGTGTCTCTCTCTGTCAAATAAATAAATAAAGTCTTTGAAAAAAAAAGAAGATATATCTTCTTTTGTTACTGCCATTTTGGTACATGTGATAACAAAAGCTTAGATTTATTGAATACTTACTGTATGCCAGATGTGGTGCTAAACACTTGCTTTGCATCATCCCTTCTAATCCCAGTAACAAACCAATGGAGTAGTTTCTATTATTACCCATGTCATAGATACTATGGCCCAGAGAGATCTCAGCAATTGTCTGACTGGGATTGTTTTAAAACTATAGATCAAATAGATTAAATGAAATGTTAACAATACTGAGTCTTCTAATCTGGGGGCCAGCAAACATTTTCTATTAAGAGCCATATAGTAGGGGCGCCTGGGTGGCTCAGTCGGTTGAGCATCAGGATTCTTGATTTTGGCTTGGGTCATGATCTCAGGGTTGTGAAATCGAGCCCTGAGTAGGCCTCCAGGTTCAATGCGGAGTCTGCTTGTCCCTCTTCCTCCCCCAGCTTATACTCTCTCTCTCTCAAATAAATAAAATCTTTTTTTTTTTTAAGAGCCATATAGTAAATAGTTTTGGCTTTGCAAGCCATGTGGTCTCTTTCACAACTACTCAACTATGCCATAGTACATGAAAACAACCACTGACAATATGGAAATAAATAGGCATGGTTTTGTTTCAATAAAATCTTATTTCCAAACATAGGCAGCAGGCTGGATTTGCCCCTGGGCCATAATTTATTGATCTCTGTCTAATCCATGAACATGGTATATCTCCATTTATTTAGGGTTTCTTAATTTTTTTCAGAAATGCCTTATATTTTTTAGTGTAGCAGTCTTGTATATTTGTTGTTGTTGTTGTTAACTCTATGCCTAAGAATTTTATGTGATTTATGTAATTTTATTGTAAATAGGGTTAAAATTATTTTCTAGTGGTTTGCAGTTGTATATAAAAATACAATAGTCATATATATGTGTGTATATATATATATATATTTTTTTTTTTTTAAGTAGGCTTCACTTCCAGCATGGAGGCCAATGCAGGGCTTGAACTCATGACATGAGATCAAAATCTGAGCTGAGATCAAGAGTCAGATACTTAACCGACTGAGCCACCCAGTCACCCCTAGATTTTTTATTATAAACTTTTCATCCTGCATCAGTAACTCTCTATGAAGACAGAAATAGTATGTGCCAGACCCAAGAGAGTAAATGAGGTCTCCTGATTACCAAAGTACCTGGAAGGAGACTTTTCTAATCAATGAACAGTTACTGTATTCAGGTTCAGGTTTAACTAATTTATCAAGCAGTTAATATGCACTAGCTCATGCAGTTTTCATATGTGCTCTGTTATTTAAGGTTATTATCTCTGGTTTTAATAGACTCAGAGAAAAAGCCTTCACCTTGCCAGATGTTCAAAGTGTTTCATAGACATGACCTTTTTTGTCTCTCTTGGGTAGGCCTGGAGGAAGAGGCAAAGCCCCTTTGACCCCTCTCCTGCGCTTGGATGTTCTGCCCGTGGCGCCCCACCCCCCCGGCCGCCCCATTCCTGGGAGAAGGAAAAGGGAGGAGAGCCCAGCCAGCTCCCTGTGCTACCCACTGCCAAGCTGTCAGGACTGTAGGCTCACAAAACCCATGTAGTGAGCTGCTGAGCCCAAGCTCTGCTCCTGGTGGGCGTACCTGCCATTTGTAGGCATTGGTGAGTGGGTAGCTACCAGGAAGGGCCAGAAGAGAACAGAAGGAAGAAGAAAAGACAATTAAGTGTGTTGTAAATCTGACCTTTGGCAGGTCCTGGGGGAAAGAAAGTCTGACTGATCAGACAGGAGAAATATTGAACTATCAAGAACTCTGGATGGTTTTTACAGACATGGAGGAACAAATAAGGTGTGCTGCACTTCAGCATACTAGTTTCTGCCTTCATTCATTTGTTTACCCTTAGGTTTGCTTTTATTTTATAAAATAGAGATGTGTAGGCCACTTCACATATCTTTTGTGAACAAATTAATGAGATAATTAAGTAGGGAGTTGCTGCACATTTAATTGACGCCCCCCACCCACCCAAACCAGGGTTCTCAACTCTTTCTGGGATTTCTAATCACTCAGGGAGCTTTTAAAGAATTCAATGCCAGGAATCCCCCAGCCCCTGACCAATTATACCAGAATGTCTGGGGGTTTGGGCCCAAAAGATTTTTAAAGCTGCTTAGGTGATTCAAACATGCATCAAAGGTTGAGAACTGCAGCCCCAAATGAGTCCTTCCAGGTTCTCTGGCAGAAAAGAGTTCCACGAGGAAACAGTCAGGACCAAGTCCCAGCATCCGTGATTCTCCGCCATATTAAGAAACAGATGGTGGGTAACAGCCTAGAGCATTCTTTCTTGAAGGCTTGAGAGCTAGGATCACACCTCTGGTGGTAAAGCTCTTTCCACAAATTACTTGGGGATATTATTTACCATGCCCCATGCTCATTAGGTGAAGTCTCCTAATGAGCAGAGGGAACCAAAGTTCCCCCAGGACGTGGGAACTACCCTGGGGCGCCTACCTTGAAGCTGGTGGTGATGGAGGCGTATTTGTTGTCGGCTGTCTCTGAATTCCCAATCAGGTAATCCCAGCTGGTGAACATCTTGAAGCTGAATGTGAAGTTAGCACTCTCCCCATCGCTTGCACTGCCCTGGGTATTGCTGGCCATCCTGTAGGGTGCATACCACTGCTGTTAGCCCAAGGGAACCTTGGCCTCAGCTGGTCTGGGGCACAGGTAGCAGGCATTCAATGAAGAGAAAGAGCCAAGATGATTCGAATTGAACTAATGATAGCCAGGGTGCCTTCCAACCCAGATCAGAGTCCACAGCAAGCACGCATGGTATCATTTGGATAATGAACCACTGAGCTGTGTTTTCTACCCTGACATCTGTTTTCCTGTGGCTTGACTCATCTGCCAATGTTGTTTGAGAACCCTTTATGGGGACTCTATTCTCAAGCAGGAACAACCCCTTCTAATTCACCTATTTTCTTGAACAGAAAAGTTATTTATTTTCTGATATAAAATCCAACAAGCCTTGAGGTAGTTACTGCAACCAGTGACATGTACATCCTTCTCTTAAGCAAACTAGGTTGAAAGTCCCTTGGACCTGCCTCGTTACCCACCCATTTTATCCTACCTATCCTCATGCTTGCTGTGGGAATCAGAATTCCAAGCAGGTCCTCTATCAGATACAGCATGTGTACAGGAGAGTTTGTGCCTCTCTATCTTATGTGTTGGCTTTTGGGATTTGCTACTCCATGGGCTTAGTTGACTCAGAGTTTTGGTTCATCAGGGAAACCTTCTGTATCCCTATACTTATCTGGGATAATAACAGGGAACATTGCAACAACATGAGGGCTAAGAATAAAAGCAAGCCTATTTCCTCTGATAGATCTGGCAGGGTAGCCACCCATCATCCAGTGGTGACTATCATGTGCTGGGCAGTCCCTCGTGAACAGTAGTGTTTCCCCCTGAGATGATGTGACAGAAAGCCATGCTAAGCCCGCATGCTGCCTTTTTGGAGTTTCTAACCCCTGCTCAACTCCTCTCCTGCAGACACAGCTACCTGTGCTCTTCCGGGAGGAATGACCTCATGTGGCCCTGCTGAAGGGGGGGTGGGCCCTGGTAGTCAGGTTTGTGCAGGAGACTGTACCTCCTCACCCTGCACCAGCCTGTGCTGATTGGGGTCCCCTGGCTTAGAAGAAGGCTATTCATGGGCCAAAGTTTTTCTTCAGAGGATATAAATTAAGAGACACAGACATATTAAAAGGCCGTTTCTGACCACAGAGACAGGTAGAGTTGGGGCCAGAGAGGACACCATGGTTAATCACACCACATATGTTCTTTTGAGTTTTTTACATGCAAGCTAGAGTTAAAGAGGAGCAGAAGAGTTTTTCTGAGGAAGCTGAGCTCTGGGGAAAGCAAAAACAGACTTTGAAGACTTCTCCAGCCTTACTTTACCAGGTACCTGCTCACTCTCAAACCACACTGGCCTTTTGACAGGTTTTGGAACTCACTAGGGTATTTGCTGCCTCAGGGCCTTTGCATATGCTCTTTCTTTGTGTAAATTGCTGTGCCCCAGACTTACAGTGTGACTGGCAGTTCTCAGCATCTTGTAAAGATGTTTCTATCCCATTTCTCAAAACTTCCTGTATTACTCTCTTTATGTCTTTTATATCACATATGACAATCCATATCTGCTTTATATGTCTCCTTGTTTTCTCTCTAAATCCCCACAGGAAAGTAAGGAGGCACAGACTGGCCTGTTTGTGTGAAGAAAATGAAAAGCCTGTAAAAGAGATGGTCGTACTTACGATCTAATGACAATCATCAGGCTATAGCCGAACACGCTGACCCCCACCATAAAGTACGCCATGGGCAACCTGTACCTCAGCCACCCGATAGTCCTCTGGTTGTTGTAGAAGCCATAGAAGAGAGCAGAATACTTGATGTAACCCTGTGGGACAGGTCCAAATGCTCTGGGTTTGTAAGCTTAGCACAGATGGTCATCAGACGCTTTCATTCTACCTGGGATTTCTTTCTCAGGGGTTTAATGGGAGTCTGAGGGGTGAAAGGAAGAATTCTGGGTGTCCTTGTTCTTCCTTTAACTTCCCCCAGTTGCTCCAGAGTCTATCCATGTCTCCACGTCTCTCCTTCATTCTCTTTATTCTCCATTATATAGAACGCATACAGATACAGAACGAGAAGGAAGTGTTGCTAACATTCCGGATACAATTAGGGGTAAAGGTGTGTGTGTGCATGTGCGTGTGTGTGTGTGTGTGTGCACATGCACAAAGAGCTCCAAATTCTTTCCCCCTCACATTTCCAGGGTCTTACTGTAACACTCTGGAAGTAGGCGGGGGTCGTGAGATTTCTCAGTACAAAACTTACAAAGAAAATGATACATTTACAAGGTTTACAGTCTAATCTGAACCTCAAGTTTTGTTTCGTTTTGGTTTTTAGGTATAATTGGCTTTAGGTACAATCAGTACACTTTTCAGGTGTAATAATTAGCTTAGAATTTTAGCGTTTCTTTTACGTCTTTGCTGAAGGTAAAACGGGATTATTCTGGCCTCACACAGATACGGAGTTGGAAAGGGGAGGCAAATCTTAATAGTCTTTTCATATACTTGAGGCTGTTTCTTCTTTGATATACCTAAACTCAATAATAAATAGTCATCCCCTATTAGTTGTAATGTGGAACCTGAATCACATAATAAACTTTTCATACCTTGTTACATTAAAATCCACTGCACTCCCCAAAATACTAATTGAAAAGAGAAAAATACTAACTTTGCAGTAGAGAATTCTGACAGATGCTACTTTACCCAAGAGATTATTTAAAAAAAAAAAAAATTTAAAAAAAAGAAAAAAAATTTACCATTGGTAACAACAACAACAAAACAGAGGATTATTGTTGAATAGATTCAGTTTGTTTTGGGCAGATAGGATGTTTCCATAGGGGTCCTTGAGCAAAATAAAGAATAAAAGAAATCCTTAGTGGTAGTACACAGTAGTAATTGTAGTATATATAATACTTAGTAGTATAGAAGTGTAGTAGTTATTTGCAACACCCTTACTCCAAATGACTTGGAAAAATACTCCAACTCACTTCCACACATACCTGAGAAGTATGAACCTGACCTGAACTTGAACCTGAGCATGAATGATGGCAGCAGCAATGACCTGTTGCCTGAACCATCACAGCCAGGCTTCCCAGCCTCAGGAACTCCTTGGAGCTGCAGACCAAGCCCCACAAAGGCATAGGGGTGAGGAGACCCAGAAGGAGGGAGGGGTGTTCCAAGCCGTGTCCTGAGCAAAAGCAGTGGGGCACTGGTATGTGATGCATTCAGAGACTTCCCCCAAACCTGATAAATATTGGAACTTAAAGTATGAGGTCTGAGACAGAAATGGAGCTGGAGAGGGAGGGAGCAGCCAGGTGGTGAACAGTTCTTTCTTAAACCTGATTTAAAACACTGGATTTTATTCCATTTGGGAATGGGAATAAATGAATATCAGATGTAGGGAAGCAATGGGGGCAGGTTTGCATTTCAGAAAGATCACTCTGGCAGCAGAGGGAATGAAGATTTTTAGGAGCCGAGTCAAAGCAGGAAGCAGAGGTAGAAGATTCTGACATGGTCCTGGTATGGTGGGGACATGATTCAAAGAAGAGGCAAGAGGGATAGAGAAAGGGGGACTGAATCAAGATAGAGTTAGTGGTTGATTGGTTGTGTGTGTGTGTGTGGGGGGGTCGTAGTGAGGAAGAGGGAGAAGTGTAGGATGACTTTCAGGTTTCACACTTGAATGATTGGGTGAATGGGGTGGTTCCAATAAAGGAGATGGGAAAACGCAATGTGGGTTTAGCTGCGTAGATGTTGAATTTGAGGAGCAGGTAGGATATTCAGTTGAGGATGCCATGTGAAGCTTGGGAATGGCGGAACTGGTGATAGCCCTGGAGTCTTCCTGTGGGTATGAGGAGAGAAAACCATCCTATAGGATCACTTACATGGATCTGGCAGAGAGAAAGGAACAGTGTGTGGCTGCAGAAAGGACCCATGAAGGGGACTTAGGAGGACATGGTTGGCTAGTTCATTTGGCATATGGGGACCCCATTTGAGTTAAGGACTACTGGTTTTCCAATGACTAAATGCAATATTTCACACTTATCCATGCAGATTTTAGGCCTTACAATCACATGATAGAAGTGCATTGGCATGTTGGGGATGGTACCTCAAAATCCCAAAGGACAGAAAAATCCATGGCTTTTTCTTCTTCAGCCCGAGGCACTGTCTTCCTGGGAATACTCCCATAGGGCACGCCCATCAGTACCTTGTGTAGGGACAGAACGACAAGATGAAGCATGCAGAAAATACAAACACATGGAGACATTCATATACTGGGTGAAACATTTCCCTTCTCAGAGCAGGAAATACCTACTTTCTTCTTTAGATAACATTAATCACTTTCCTGGTTTTAGAACTATCACATACTCATTGTAGAAAATGTGAAAAAGTACAGAAGAGCATTTAAAAAATTCCCCATCACTTGGGTGCCTGGGTGGCACAGTCATTCAAGCGTCTGACTCTTGGTTTTGGCTCAGGTCGTGATCTCAGGGCTATGAGATGGAGCCCCAAATCCAGCTCTGTGCTCATCATGGAGTCTGCTTGAGATTCTCTCTCCCTTTCCCTCTGCCCCTCCTGCTTGTGCTCTCTCTCTCTCAAATAAATGAATAATAAATAAATCTTAAAAAAAAATTCCCTATCACCTCCATATCCCAAAGATAATGACTGTTAGATATTCATATATTTCCTTACGGTTGCTTCTGAGTTTTATATATATTTTAGTCTGGTTATTTAGCTTAATATAATTTTATGACCAATTCTTTATGGCCTATGGTATGTCTCAAAATAAAATGACTTCAAAATATTTAATTCCATATATCTATCATAAATTTACTTAACAAATCACCTGTTGTTGGACATTAGAATATTGCTAGTTCTTCACATGTACATAGTTCTGTTATTAATAACCTAATATATATGCCTGTTTTTGCATCCTTAATTCTAAAAAAATCAGAATTGTATGAAGTTTACATATTGATTTAGGAAGGATTGACTTCTTTTTTTTTACGATATTAAGTTTTCCCTTCAAAGAACATATCCTCCTGTGTATTCAGTCATATTTTGGTCCTGTAATGCTTGATGGTGTTCCTCACAGAAATCTTCTAATTTGTCAGATTTCCCTTGGAAAAGATCCCAGGCCAACACTCTGAAGACCTGGGATCTCATTCACTACAAACGTACTGTGTGACTTTGCACAAGTTGCTTATTCCTTTTCTGTCTCTCAATTAGTCATCTATAGGTAGGGATGCACCTACATCCGTAATAAGATTATATCTGGGGGAATAGTGAGGAATACTATTTAAATGCAGGGTTCTTTTTTTTTTTTTAAGATTTTATTTATTTATTTGAGAGAGAGACAGAGCATAGAGGCAGAGGGAGAAGCAGACTCCCTGCTGAGCAGGGAGCTCGATGTGGGCTTCGATCCCAGGACCCTGGGATCATGACCTGAGCCGAAGGCAGATGCTTAAGCGACTGAGCCAACCAGGCATCCCTAAATCCAGGGTTCTTAAAAAAAAATAAATTATGATACAATGCATTCTATTTCTCCCTTTTTTCAGGGTAAAGAAAAAAACTTACTAAGATGTTAATTCTCCACTGATCTTAAAGCAAAACAAAAGATAGAAAAATGTAGGATCCACTTCTTAATTTAGAAACACAAATATTTTGAGCACCCCCCTCCTGTTTGTTTGGCTGGATTGGCCTAGGGGATTGGAGGTGCCCCTCCCCACCCATGGGGCACAGGGGCCACCTGAGACCCTGGGTGGGCCACCAGGCTGCATGGCTGAGCAGGTGACCTCTTTGAGGAAGAACTGGCATCAGCCTTTCAGGAAGTGCGAGAAATGTGGAAAGACTCTGATGTCAGGGGGCCATGCTGAACATGAAGGCAAGCCTTACTGCAATCATCCCTGCTATGCTGTCACGTTTGGGCCCAAAGGCTTTGGGTGGGGTGGAGCTGAGAGTCCCACTTTCAAGAAAACCCAGGTCGTGAAAATGCTATCTCTGGCTGCCCATTGGGCCACTGCCCTTCCAGGCTGATTCCAGGCCTTATCCCCAGGCACCCAGGGCTCCCCTCTAGACTCCCATGCCCTCAAAAAAGCTGAACACTCCAAAAAAAGGAAAAAAAAAAGGAACACAAGTGTTTTGGTTCCATTCTTTGCCCTGAACTATCTGGGCAATGAATAGGAGTAGAGAACTTAAAATGAATGACTAATTCTTTGTCAAACAGAGAGTATTTGATTAATATAAATGAGGATGGTGGTCATAATAAGCCTCAACACTACCTAAAGATCTAGGAAGCTCTTGTCTTACCTCTGGGATGATAACGAGACCAAATATTAAGCCAAAAAGGACGAGGTTAACTCCGTACATCCATCGGAGAAAGATGAAATATGATGCCACAGAAGAACCAAAGTGACCTGGCATAAGAAAAGGCAGCAGGATTTACATGTTGTGGATGGAGGAAGGTAGCACGACCAAGCACTTCGTGAGTGTGATGGATTCAGTTTGCACATCAGTCTGTGGAACGGATAGTCCAGATAAATAACCTGAGGCTATGTGGGGCTAACCAAACTACCTATGCTCCCGCAATCAGAAAATGAAGAAACACGATTTAAATCTTGGCCTGACTAGCTCAAAGCCCATTCTGTTTTCTAACACCACAGGACCTGTGAAATGATCTGACCAGCAGGTCAAGAACACCAAGCCCTTGGAAAGCTCTTTAGTAAACCAGCTAAACACAGCTACGTCAAAATACTCACTTTCAATGTCCTTGATCTTCATTTCCCAGGGTATACATTGAGTCTTGAAATTATCAAAGTCTCTCTTAAACTTGACCCACTTCTGAAATTAAACAGGTAATATACTCAGTTCATTAACATGCTGCCTTGGGGCCTGGAGGGACACACTGGAGGGACATGTTGATGCTGACGTGTCAACACCAAAGTTCAGGAGCGGGGTGAGAGAGAAGCCAGCACAGCATAATGCCTTGTGTTTGTCTCTAGTGCTGATAAAATTTCATGTTTGGACAGTGTGTATATGAACTTAGGAATTCTGTATATACTTTTGGCTTGGGGGATCAAATTGGGTTAGCAACCTCTGATGCAACTTTTTTTTTTCATCTTAAAACAAACATTCAAGGGGGAAAAGAAATCTCACAACTCTCACATCCACATTTGGCAGACAGCCAAGTGCCTAAATCTGATAGGAATTGTTGCCCGCACCCAGCCATTTTGGAATTGGTAGAACCTCAACCCATGGCTTCCGTTCTTTTCCTGGTGAGAACAACAGCCTGTTTTTTTTTGTTCTTGTTTTTGTTTTTCTGAAAGGAGTTAGGAAGGCATTTTGCTTCTTTCCACGGTCCCTTCCCAGCTCCAACACTCAGAGTTTGTACCAGTTGGAAACCTGAGTAGCTGTCTGTCTACTGATTGGGTGAAAATTTGTCAATCTCAAGGGGGTTGTTCTCCAAAAACCCTACTCCTTGGAAATACATCCATTTGGAACTTAAATAAAAAACTCATAAAAAACAGCAGACAAAGAGGTAGTGGGGAGAAGATCCTAAGATCAGTTTCTATTATTACAAAGGTCTAAGAACTTGCTCATGAAGGAAGTGAGGTTTCCTGTGTAAATTTACTAAAGGCTCAAAATGAAAATTTATCTGAAGGGATCAGATACGTTTCCAGAACTGCAGGCTTTGACTGTATCTTGATGGGATGATTGCTATACAAGGAAGGAAGCCACCTGTCGAAAAGGACGGTAGTCAAAGGTACAATAGAGAAGAGGAACATGTAAGCAAAAGCCTGGTTGATAACAATGGCAAAGCTATCCCTAAAACAGGAAGGGGTGTGGAGAATAACAGATGGTGGGCATTGGGCATTCCAGTCCCGCTGCTTTATCTACCTTCCCTAGCTCTGATTCCACGCTCAAAATTCATCGTTGGTGGCTTATTTGGCTTTCTATGTAAGTCTGTCTATAAAGGAAGCATTGCCCATCACCTGTGATGGGCTGTGAGTATTTTGGATTCTATGGTAGTGATTTGTGGTTGCAAGTTAATAGATTGGAATTGGGGTTTTGGTTTAGCTACCCACATAAAGTAACTCTACTATCAAAAAATAAAAGGTGCAGCTGATGTGAACTCTTCACATTGCCAGTTCTCTCATGGTTATTTCTCCTTGTAAATTAATAATCCAGCACCTGGTTTTACCTATCAGTCTCAGAAGCTTTATTAATATGAGTCTTCCCCCCGAGGGATGGATCCCCTGTCAGCGTGCTGATAAAATCAATACAGGATATAGACTTGCAAGAATGAGGGCCAAGAGGGATAATGAACATTGCCAAGGGAGGCCCCTGGGGACAGCCTGCCAGTTAGTTGATCACTTGGCAACCATCTGACAGCCCCTCGAGGCTGTGGGCATCTTGGCCTGAAAAGTGATGCCCTGGAGGTGGGGCAGAGGCCGAGAAAGTCTTGGAGAAGCTCAGCATTGAAGCTCTTATCCTTCATTGGTTTAGAGAATCAGAAAACTGGGATGGAGCGTGGCCAGGAGAAGACCCCAGCTCCCTTCCTCAGAGCCACGTGAGATGGTAGCTGCAGTCCTGGGACTGGGTTATTAAATGTGCAAGTTGTCTTGTTCTCCAGCTCTATATAGAAAAAGGATTTCAGATAGTGGGTGAACAAGATGCGGGCAAGCTATGCATTCTGTGAATGAAATCCAGATCTGAATGACTGAGACACCCAGTGAGGTCTGAGAAATAGTATTGCAGAACAAGGAAAAGGGGACAAGACTCTGCAATTTTTGAAAAGCATTTAGGCTACATAACTAATTTTGAGAAATGATTCACCATTCTTACAGGGATACAATAAATAGGGTTTCTAAGTAAAAGATAATTTGGGATTTTAAAAAGAACATAAGTGAAGTGTGGAAGGATTACAAGGTAGCTAAGGCTCAGTAATCGAAGGAAAATAAGCATTAGATGTAATAAAGACTATAATTGAAACAGAAGAAAATGGATTCAATGATATTGGGAATAAACCTGAGAAATTTCTGAGGATGCAAAGAGAGAAAACAAAGAATTTAAAGCAACGAAGGAAGGTAAACACAGACAGGATTGACAGCCATCCTTTTCCTAGGGAAGAAGCTAGAACTATTTGCTAAACAGAATTATTTATCGAAAGTATATTTGAAGAGCACATTCCTCAGTTGGAGAAAAAAAAAAAGACATAAGCATGCAGTTAAGTGGTAAATAGTTTCTAGATAAAATTAATAAAATGACTCATGGATAGTCACCAGGCAATAAAACTGAAAAAAGGAGAAAAAAATAGTATTAGGAATAAAAAAGACCCAAACCCAACATATACAAAAAGTAATTCCAAAAATTATGGGACCACCATCTGCAACTTTTTGGCAATACATATGAAGATCTTAATGGAATGAATGGGTTTTGGGAAGAATATGAAATATCCAAACGTCCCCCAAGAAAAAGATAAAACTCAAATGCACCAATGAACAAAGAATACATGAAAAAACTATCCAGGTGTTACATAAAAATGGATGATTTATCAAACCATGTGTCTGGGTTTGGGGCTTGGGAAATAAGATCTCAGTGCTTTAACCTCATCAGTTTTGTGAGTTTACAGTTCTTCACTGGAGAAGAAACAAATCTCAGATACACTGAAGTCCTTGCAGATAAATGGAGAGAAATTGACAGGAGACAGTTTCTATTCCTGGACAAATTAGCTGGTCGGCTTGACCTCGCACTGAGGATTCTGGGGAGCTAAACAGAAATGGAGAACCTGGGCAGGTGCCTGTGATGGTCACCTGGGTTCAGAGGCTGAGCAAGCCCTTCTGAGGGTTTGGCTTGCTGCCTCTGCACCACCCACCTTAGCCACCAGCATCCTATAGGCATAGAGTCGCTTGCCTTTCCCCTTTCCCAAGACTCCTTCGTACTTCTCCACAAATTCTTGGGCCTCCCTGGTTAGGAAAAAAAAAAGGGGGGGAGGGTGGTAGAGGCAGAACTTCAATTAACACCAAACGAAAAGAAATCTGAACTATGAGAGAGCGTGTATGTGGCTGAAAGCCTGAGTGTTTTTATACCCCTAGTTAGAATGTAAGCTCCGTGAAGGCAGGGTATTTTGTCTGTTTCGTTCATGGAAGTTTCCCAAATGCCCTCTGGGCCCTTCCAGAGAATCCAGGATAATCTCCCTATTTTAAATTCAGGAATTTTCATTCCATCTGCCAAGTCCCTTTTGCCATTCATGGGTGTGCCACCAGGGGGCGAAAGTCGTGGGGGCCAAAATTCTGCCTACAGGTGCCTACAATGTATTAAGCACTATTCTTAGCATTTGGCCCTTAAGGGCCCTTAAACCCAGAAGAGAGAGAGAATCAGAGAGAGAGAGAGAGAGACGTGGCAGAGGGGGAAGTCAGAGAAATTAGAAGCAAGAGAATTCTCCACCCTCTGTCCTGGGTCCCTCGAGAGGAAGCCACATGGAAAGCAAGAGAAGGAAGCAAATTCTGCCAAAAACCAGGGAGCTTGGAAGAAGACCTCTAGCCCCACAAGGGAAACTCAGCCCTGCTGATACCTTGATTTTAGCGGGGTGAGACCCTGCGCAGGGAATCCAACCACGCCACAGCTGGATTTCTGACCAGCCCACTGTGAGCTGGTAGCTAAAGGAGTATCGTCTTAAACAGTTATATTTGTGGCCCATTTGTTGCAGCAGCAATAGAAACAGACACAGCAAAACAGGTGAAGGGGACGAAGGGGTAAAAAATTCCAGTTATAAAATAAATAAGTCATGGGGATGTAAAGTACAGCCTAGGGAATATAGCCAATAATATTGTAATAACGTTGAATAGTGACAGATGGTAGCTAGACTTATCGTGGTGAGCATTGCGTGATGTATACACAAGTGGAATCACGCTGTTGCACACCTGAAATGAATATAATACTGTATGTCAACTCTACTTCAGTAAAGAAAAGGAAAATGAATACAGCATTCAGTAGACATTTGTGGACTGCATGAATGTTGAATGAGGGAGTGAATATATCCCGGGAAGGCTGGATGAGAAACACATGGATCAGTTTGTCTATTACGTATTCTGGGTGGTGTGCTGGGGCTGGTGAGAACGGGCTCCTGAGTACCCAGTGTTAAATATTCAGGAACTTGGCCACCCAGCTGTTAAACTGTTGGTAGCTTGAAATTGGCCACGGTGGGAGTACTTAGACCATGGAAATCAGCAAAGGCTGCAAATCAGGCCCCCTTCATCGCAGCCCCCAGAGAGCCAGTTTTTCAGCAGCCCCTGGATAAAGCCGCACAAACGGAGGAGGATTCATTGCAGGGTGGCCAGGAGAGGGCGCTGTGGAGCTGCGTGTCGGGGCTAGGGCTACAGCCCCCACGGTTTGCTACGCGATCCCTATCCTACCTCCAAAGTGTATGTGCAGCCAGATCAAGCGTCAAAGTCACATTCTAACCTCAGGTTAATCTTGAAGCTGGTTTTATTCCGATGTCTCTCTATTAATGAGGGTGACTGTCTAGCTCCCGAGCCCCTGGGGTCAAAAGCTGGTCTGTAGGGGATTAAGGCTCCTTAATGGGATCAGCTCCCTGTTTGTCCCCAAGGCCATGTCCTGGCAGTTAGTTATCTGTGGCTACCAACACAGCCATGCCACGAAAAAAATGTTTTCATGAAATTTGCATTTTTGTTCTCTTCCTGTATTTTACAAGTGAGCAGAGGCTCCTAAGCCCTTGGAGTTTGTGAGTTTAAATGCACCAACTTTTGGGGCACCTGGGTGGCTCAGTCAGTTGAGCGTCCGGCTCTTGGTTTTGGCTCAGGTCATGATCTCCTGGGCCATGGGATCGAGCCGCACGTGATCGGGCTCTGCGCTCAGTGCGGAGTCTGCTTGGAGATTCTCTCCCTCTGCCCCTCTCCCCAGTCTCTCTAGAATAAATAAATAAATCTTTAAATGTGCCAGCTTTTAAGATTTGGGGACTTCAAGTGAGAATTCTCCAAAGAGCCAGCTCATGTTCCTGAGCCATTGGGCCCGGCAGCAAATGCTTTTCTTCTTAATATCCGGACCCCCAGAGAGCCCTCTGGAGAACAGAGGGCCGTGCCCAGCACTGGGTACAAACTTTGAGGACCATTCACTATGAAAAGCCCACCTGGTTTAAGAATTTTGGTGGACACAGCAAGCTTTTCTGGATACAGTGAAGATATGGAAATAGTAACAACTAACTTTATTCAGCAAACTCCTTTTTAAACATGTTACCTATAATCCAGACTGTCCCATTCTTCCTTACCAGAGAGTATTTGGTTTATGGAAACATCAGCTCCTGCCCGGTGCTTCCCGATTGTTGCAAATCTTACTTCTGTAAGGTGCTTCTGTCCCCTCCTTGTCACCAAGTGTCCTTGGAAAAGGGAACTTCCCGCAAACTCGCCTCTCTTTTTTCCTCAAACCTGACGGTGTGTGGTAAATGCAGTGAAAAGGCAAGAGAGGAGGCATCCCGTTTTGAGGAAGCTTTTAGGGGTGTGGATCTCAAGGTCACTTTTGGCAGGTGATGATTAACCCCTCAGGCCCCTCCAGCACTCAGCAGAGGAGGTAGTTACTGAAGAAAAGGCTTTCAGGCACAGAGACAACCCAGACCACACTTCAGAATCCCCCCCACGTTTGCCTCCTGGAAGACCCTGTTTGTGAGTAAAGTGAACACAAGTTTGGAAAACACGGTTAGGATGGCCAGTGATGGGGGCGCCTGGGTGGCTCAGTCGTTAAGCGTCTGCCTTTGGCTCAGGTCATGATCCCATGGTCCTGGGATCGAGCCCCACATCGGGCTCCCCGCTCCGCGGGAAGCCTGCTTCTCCCTCTCCCATTCCCCCTGCTTGTGTTCCTGCTCTCGCTATCTCTTGCTCTGTCAAATAAATAAATAAAATCTTTAAAAAAATAATAAAATCTTTGCCAGCCAATCCCAGCACCCATGTCATCTTGGTGTTAGCATCTTTAGTTGTCTTTTATCATTCAGCTTGGGATCTTCCTGGTTCTTGGTACGATGAGTGATTTGCAGTTGAAGCCTGGATACTTTGGATATTATAAGACTCTGGATCTTGTTGAAATGTTCTGCTTTAGCAGAATCCTCTGCCACTGCTTCAGTGAGTGAAAGGGATGCTGTCTGGTTACTTCCAGGTGGAAGTCCATGCTCCTCACTCGGCCCGCTTTGGCATCCGAGGCTGGGTAGGAGTTCTTCATTACTGTTGAGCAAGGATGGGAGTTCAGGCTTCCAACCAGGTTCTCCTCACATCTTCCTGGCTAGGAGGGATGACTTGTTACTGCCAGGTGGTGGTGAAAGTCCAGACTCGCCTTGTGGCTTGCACAGACACCAGAGGGAGAGGGAGGGTTCCTTACTGCCCAGTGGGGAGGAAAGTCCCTGCTCCCCACTCAGCCTCTTCTGATACCACTCTGGTGGGGGCCCTGGGGGCACCAGTTATAACCTGGCAAGGGAGGAAATCTAGGCTTCCCCACTTGGCCTTTGCTGCCAGGGGCAGGGATGGGGCTGCTGTTCTGTTTGTGGGGCTTGGCTAGAGTAGGATTGTTAATGCCTAAGAGTTTTCTGTCTTGCCAGACTGTCCCTTTCCTGGTCCTTTGACTAGAGAGAGCAGATTTTTCTTGAGGTGTTTTTTTTGTCTGTGTGTGTCTGTCCGTGTTTCTGGGTTGCCAGCTTCTCTAATAGCCAGTCTGGGAAATAGAGGGCAAGAAGAAAACCCCAGAACTCAATGCCTGATCAATCCTTTGGTCCTGAGGTCCTTAACCAGACCATCTTCTTCTGTCCACCTTTCTGAGTCTTCTTATGTTTGCTTTACAGATAGCGTCCAGGGTTTTAGTTGTACTCAGTGGGAAAAATAGGCAGAGGAATATCTACCCCATCTTCCTGGAAGTGGAATTCTTCAGATCTCTCTGAAGAAAGCAAGCAGCTTGGGTAATTTTCTAAGATATCAGGCTTCTGATAAAGTTGAGGGACACACCTGATTAATTCTATGGTTAAAGCAAACATCCCTGACTCATGGGGCCTAGAAGCTCTTTTGCCAACATCATGGCCTATCTTGTGTTTTTAATGATACCTTTTGCAATATCTTCTCTGATCCATCTTTGTTCCCCTCCTCCTCTCCTCCCCACAGTGTCTGGCACAGAAGATGGTCAAGCCTTAATAATGGCAAGAACTACTATTTACCAATTGCACACCACGTGCTGGACACTTAATACAAATATTTTGAATTGGTCTGAACAACTCTACAAGGTAGATATTAATTTTTTTTTAAAGATTTTATTTATTTATTTGACAGAGAGAGACACAGCGAGAGAGGGAACACAAGCAGGGGGAGTGGGAGAGGGAGAAGCAGGCTTCCCACTGAGCAGGGAGCCCTACTCGGGGCTCGATCCCAGGACCCTGGTATCATGACCTGAGCTGAAGGCAGTCGCTTAACCAACTGAGCCACCCAGGCGCCCTAGATATTAATTATTATTCCATTTTGTAAATGAGGAAGGTGAGGCTCAGAGGGCTTCTTAAGGGAAGGAAATCATCCTGAGGGGCACTGACTAGCCAGCCAAAGCCACCTGGATGCGGCAGGGATGGGAGTGCAGGCTTGCCCCAGTTCACCATCGGTGTTCTTCATGCGTTACAGCCCTTCCTCGGTTGTCCCAACAACTATGCCCACGTCAGCCAGCCGCCTGAGTGGGCCAGAGACTGGGGTCTCCACACCATTGCTTCTGAAAAAAAGATGTAGGGACGCCTGAGTGGCTCAGTCAGTTAAGCGTCCGACTCTTGATTCTGGCTCAGGTCATGATGTCAGAGTCGTGAGATCGAGCCCCGGGTCGGGTTCCGCGCTCAGTGCGAGTTTTCTTGGGATTCTCTCTCTCCTTCTCCCTCTGCCTCTCCCCAAGCTCTCTCTAAATAAATAAATAAAATCTTAAAAAATAAAAATAAAAATAAAAAAAGAAGATGTAGCCTGGGAATGCTGTTTGCAACGGAAAACCTCACTGCCAGAAAAGGAAATCATAGAGGATGCAAAGGGATACATCCTAGAATGTTTAGTAATTCTAGAGAAACGGTTACCAATGAAGAGTGCAGGCCGGAGCCAGAATCCCTGAGTTCAAACGCTAACTGAGCCACTTAACTCACCTTGCAAACCGGGGGCAAATGACTTGATTGCTCTGTGTCTCAATTTGCTCATCAGTACATGGGGGACAATAAGAATAGTCCCTGTATCACAGGGTGGCTGTAAGGATTAAGTGGGCTGTGACACACACCAGCACTCAGAACAGTGTCTGGTACACAGGGAGCCCTCAGCAAGTGGAGGCAATTTATCAAAAAGAAAGAATCGTGAAAGATGAATGAGACATAGCTCTGCAGAGCAGAGCATCCAGTCGAGTGAGGACACAGTGCCTTGGGGATCAGAGGGGCAATAAATAACTCAGCCTGAATGCGGGGAGGGCAGTGGGGAGCTTCCCTGAAGAGGGGACATTGGCCCGAGTCTTACGGGGCGTGTGGGAATTAGCCAGGGTGGGCTGGCAGAAAGCAAAGATCTAGGCAGAGGCGCCAGCTTGCTTGGAGATGCAGAGGCTCCCTGGCCTTAGACTTTGAGTCTGGGAGGAGGAGTCTTGGGAGAGGGAAGAGGAAGGAGGGAGGCCTGCAAGGGAGAGGCCAGTGTTGGCTGAGGATCCCTGCCCCAGGGACAGATGCATGGGTCTGTTTGGCTTCCCAGGCTTTAGCCACTTCCCACTCACCCCAAGAGCAGGAGCTCTGCCCTCGGGCTGGAGGAGATGTCAGACTTCTCCTCTGGGCAGCTGGACAGCCCTCAGGAATTTTCCCAGTCCCTGCAACTTCCAGCCGGTGGGAGATCTCATTTCCATGAGCACCTCAGTCGCTCTTTTTCCACTGTTAATAAAAGATGTGTTCAGGTGACACCTGAGTGGGGGTGAGGTTCCGCGAGGGTGACAGATGGCTGTTCTGCGTCCCCCTGACAGGAAGAAGAACCTGGCCCCGACGGACTAGAGAGAAGAGTCTCAGAAAAAGGGGCTGAGAAGGCAGACAGCCACTGCCTAGAGCTGTCCCTGCCACCCGAACTGTAGCTGCTAGCCACATGGGATGATTTAATTGAAACAAATTATTATTATTATTATTATTATTATTTTTTAATAAAACCAAAACCATCTGTGTCTTGGTCACATTCACTACTCTTCAAGCGCTTACTGGCCACCTGCGGCTGTCGGCTGCGGTATTAGTTCGGATTTAGAGCACTCCCATCATGCCCAGCGCTTGTGGGTCCGCACTGGCCGGTGGGCACCACAGGGACGCATTTCTTCCTGTGGCTGCGTAGGACACGATGTAATAATTTGCTGGCATGGAGTAAGCTCTGTTTACCAGAACCCTGTCCCGTGTCCGTGCGGCCAGCATCTTGGCGGCGCCTCTCGGGGGCAAACCGTGAGGCCCAATGTGTCCAAACACAGCTGCCCAATTGTTCGACGTAATAGAGGGTGAGGCATTTGACTTGAGCGATGGGAAACTCATGTGTGAGAGGAGCCAGGGAAAAGGGCTTCCTAAAGAGGGAAGGGGAGAGGGAGTGCCTCCCCAACCCTGTGGCAGAAAAGCCAGGGGGGAACTTGGGGGGAAATGGTAATGTTGGATGGGTTTTGTTTTAGTTTTTTTTTAAGTAGAAAACCAGAAGTTAAGCAATGTGACTCCCGCAGCAGGGACGTGACACTCATAAAATGCTTGGGGTGCTGGCCTTTTGTATGGAAGCTGGAGCTGAAAACAGGAGTCAGGGCCTTGGGTATGAGGCCTGAACAATATTCACGGAGCATTATGGCAAGCTTGGTCCGGGGTCAGGCACTCGGGCCACAAGAGTAGCTGAGACAGACCCACTCCCTGCTCCCCTGGCCCCCCACCCCATACACACAGGTGAGTGTGCTACACAGGGAGCCGTTCTGGGGGCCTAAAGAACACGGAGGGAGTTCTGAACTTGTCGAGGTGGGCGGTTGCCACAGAAAGCCCCCCAAGGAAGGCATGTCTGTCTTGGGTTGTGAGGGAGGCACAGAAGCCACTGGATGACGGGGAAGGGGTGTGGGACCGAGGGAGATCGGGCAGCGCGGAAAGGTTGGCTCTAGGCCAGACCGCCATGATCCTCTGTCTCTCCCGCCAGACCCTGTTCGGTGCTGGCCAATGGCAGGGCCTCCATCAACAGCCCCCGACTCAGGCTTCTCTGGGCTCTAACAGCCCCCCACTCATGCACTGTGCTTGTGTTGGGGAGCGAAGGGACCAAAGCAGAGCGGGAGGGTGAATCCCCCTTCCTGTCAAGTCTTCTTGGGGCCAAGAAGGGGAAGGGGCTCTGGGGCCATCGGAAGGACCTGAGCCTTTTGGACATCAAAAGGCCCTGGTCGATCACCACCCACTCACCTGAGCTCCCTAAGCTTTTTCGCCATGGGCCAGGGCTTGTTCCGCACGGTGGCAATGAGCTTCTTCTTGTCTTCTACCTGCTCCAGGATCCGGGCCCGTTCCTCCTCTGACAGAGTCTCCGCTCCAGAAGCACTGGAGGCCAAGGAGGGTGGTCTGGAGGCAGAGCCAGGGCAGAGCAAAGGAGAGTGAAAAGCTGGCAAGTGTCTTCAGGTGCTCTGTGGAATGCAGAGAAGCCCACAGGCAAGGCGGGTGGGCTGTGTTCCCTGGCCCTCCCAGCCCTGACCACCCCTCAGAGGCTGTGCCTGCCCAGAAGCCCTCAGTGACTCCCCTCGCCTGTCAGAAGAAGCCACCGCTCTGTCCTGTAGCCCAAAACACCGGGATAGTTGCCTCCTCCAACTCCATTTCTCTGAGTCCTCTGCACCCACCACATTCAAGCACAATTCTCTGCTCAGTAGAAATATAACCCGAGCCACATATTGTAATTTAAAAATTTCTAGTAACCACATTAAAATGACAAAAGGAGATGGGCAAGTTAATTTTAATAATACATCTCACTGAATGCAATGTGTCAAAAATTGTCATTTTAACATGCAACCCATATAAAAATTATTAATGAGATATTTTATATTCTTCTTGTACTGTCTTCAAAATCTGGTGCTCATCCCACAACCACTGTGCGTGTCAAATCAGACATTAACTTTTCCTTGAACATATTTGATCTGTATCTGGGATTTCATAAAATTTGTAGTTGAAACGGTAGATTCACATACCCAGGTTGTTTTAGACATACTTAAAAGTTTCCCAACAAATGAGTCAAGTAGCGAAAGGTCACTTCCCTTTGACATTTGCATCTGCATTGACAAAAGCAGTTTGCCTTTTATTTTTAAGAGGAAATGCACTGGCTTCAAAGTTCAATTGGTCTCAAAGCTACAGCTGTCTGTCCGAGTTAAGTAAATTCACAAACTCCTGTGTCAACCCAGTAGTATTAACACTGAATTAAAAAGAAAGGAAATTAGAAATTCAGCGCCTTGGTCGAGTTGGCCACAGTTCAAGGGTTCAGCCCGCCGGCTGGTGGGGACGGTACTGGACGGCACAGGGAGGGGCAGCTTCTAGCTGGAACCCTTCTCCCCATGTGAGGAGCCTCAGCATCTCACAGACAAGACGATGTGTTCGCCTTCCACAAAATCCTAGTTCTTGTGTGTGCTCCTTACAGCATCCTTCACTAGCAGACTCAGTGACTCTGGGAGGGACACCAGCCCCCTGAGGTGAGGGGGGTGCAGGAAAAAGCCAGGCCCCAGCTGCCTTCTTGGCAAGTTCCATAAACGGAAACACCAGGATGTGGGCTTGGGTTAGAGAACAATTTACAGCAGCGCCTGTGAGTCTTAATTTCTGAGGAATTCGAACCCTTCACTGCTGGGAACCCTTGGGCACATCCCATGATGGTTGCCTTTGAGTCTTTCCACAGGGGTTCCCTCAGTCTGGGGTTGGGGAGCATTCGGTCATTGCTTGTTCAAATGCCACCTGTACTTGGACGACCGGCTGGAATGCTTACCTTCTCCGTGGAGGAACCTTGATGTCCCAGTGCCCCCCCAAGAAGGCATTTCATTAAATCCTTTCTCAGATACATATTGCTTTCTGCCTTGTCTTGTGATGACTGATGTCCATGGCCTATCTCCACTGCTAGACTGTCAGCAGCTGGGAACAGGACTGAGTCTTTTCTGTCTCTCTATGCCCTGCCACTGCACTCAGCTGACTTTGCATCTGCCATCCAGATATCTGCGGTCTGTTTGGCGGGGGGCAGCCTCCCTCTAAAGTTCAGGACACTCCAGGGCCCAATCAACGTGCATTCAAGTTCTCTTTAAATTGCTAAGGGCACCATGCTTTCTTTACCCCTTCAGCTGATGTCCAAGGACAATCAGACAGTAGACAAAAGCCCCAACCAAGCCAGGAATGGCTGGCATGACAGAAAAAATCAGTGGGCCCTTTTGAGGGCCACGGTTCCCACTGTAAAGGTGGAGAGGTCCGGTGGAAGAGCCTAGAGCCCTGTGGGAAGGAACATCATCTTCACCATAACACCAATTCCTTCAACTATTTCAAAAGCCTCCCCAGCCATTATCAACAGGGATTCTTAAAACATCCCAGGAAGTGAGTAAAGCCAAAAAGGGAGGCCAAGAGAAGCTGATGTCCCATCAAAATTTGTAGCCAAGAATGGAACTGATTGGAATCCCTGAAGGTCCTCTAGATCGAAGCCACATATCACAGAAGAGGACACAGGTCCAGATTGGGGAAATGGTGTGCTTAAGTTCTATGATGACTGCTAAATCCAATTTTGTTCGTTTCTCTCAGTGCTTCTTCCAGAGCTGTGGTGAGCCACCAGCTGAGATTCAGGAGACTTGGGATCTTATCCCACCTGGCTGCCATGTCACCTCCCCGCTCAGTGCTTCCTGCCAGACAGGGGGCCCTGGCTCTGAGAGTACCCAGTGGCCAGTCCGCCTGGGATGACCAAGATCCTCATCCCATTTCTGCCCCAGATGGGGAAGGCAGGGTAGTGGACAGGCAGGGACAAACAGAAGCAGATGAGAGTGGGGTCACCTATACCAGGGGAGGGGACCTCAGCCCTTCATCAGGGGAGGGAGAGGGGCCACAGGAGAGGAGGGCGCCCATCAAAAAACGCACCTGAACCAGAATCACAACATACCTGTGTTCCTTTGGCTGCTTCCACATCTCCTCCTTCCTTGACACCTCCTTTTCCTTCTTTGGGGGAGCTCTCTGCTTCTTGAGGGAAGCCCTCCCATCTCTCTTCCTCTTCCCCTCGAAGGTCCTCTCTGCGGAGCTCCGCCCCTGCTCCCCCAGCTCCTCTAGGTGTCTCCTGCGCTCTGCCTGCTTCCTCCGGGGAGACCCTGGCCTTGGGCTGCCCCCGGCCGGCTCCTTCTGGCCAGGCTGAGCTCCACGCCTGCCCGCCGCACCTTGGGCTCTGGCAGCCTGCTTCCTTGCGGGTCTCCTCCCGGACCTGTCACCTGCAGGGACAGGAGAGGGACAGTTCTGGCCTCGCTGGCCTCCACCGCAGGAAAATGCCCCCAGCTGTGAGGAATCAGATGTCCAAGATGCTTCCTGGAGCTTGTTGGCTCCAAAGGCCACTTCTTTGGAGACTCTGGTTTGGGATGAGAATTAATGTCTCCCTCCTCTGACAACTTGGCATTACCATGCTCTTGCCTAAACCTCAGGTAGAAACCTAGGCACATGCCTTTCCTCTTCTTGGGTGTGTAGTTCCTTGGGGTCAGAACTGAGTCATCTCCAGAGCCCCAGGGCCAGCCAAGCATGGTTCTCTGTTTGGCAAGCCTGGACCACTGGCAAGGAAGGGCTGGGCAGTTTCCTTTCCCCAGGAGCTGCTGCCTGACGTGTCCCTGCCTTTGAGTGTGTGTGTATGTTTGTAAGCCACGACTTCGTGGCATTGGCCAATGGCCTGGTTGGACAGAATCGACAGTATGAAATTTCCTCAACAGTTTGCCCAACAGCTACACTAAGTACAACTCTTTGTATAAGCATTTACAAATTAAATGCAGGGAAATTATCATGCAGTTCTGGTATTAATAACCAACGTCTCCACCACTTACTAGCTGGGTGTCTTTGAACAGGTCACTTGACTGCTCTGAGTCTCAGCTCATCTCTATCATGGGGGATGTTCATCTTACTCCATTAGCTTGTTAATGAACACAGAACAGTGACTAGAACAATGACTGACATCTGAGAATGGATGTCATTACCCTAATACTTTTACCCAGAAATAAGATATTTTTTGCTTATAGGAAAAACACAGGTTTCGAGCTAGACTGCTTTGCCTGAAAAGATCATTTCTATCATTTTTTATCTCTGTGACCACAGATAAATTACTTTTCTGCACCTCAGCTTCCTCATCTGTAAAATAGCTCTAGAAGCTTCCATTTCCTTATGTGGCTGAGGGGCGGGGACGGTTAATTAAAAGCAGGAGTAAAAGGTCTGGCCCGTGGGAAGTACTCAACAAAGGCCCCCTCCCCTCCTGTCTCCAGCCTGCCTGCCACTCTTGCACTCTGAGCCCCCACATCCGAGTGGGCAGGGCCTGGAAACAGTATTGTGCAGGGCACTCGTTCTCATTGCCCACACGGGCCCCCATCCAGGCTTTTCTGCCAAGGGCAGGGAGATTTTCCCAGCTGCATTGCCAAAGCCCCAACTTTGGGCAAAGCAGAGGAGAAGTTTGCCACCTGCCATTCCCAGCAGCAGTGATAGAGTCTGGGATGTGGAGTCCCAGTTTCCCAAATTCTCACCTCTACCCTCCTCCTTACCCAGCCTCTCAAGGTTGTGCCTGTAATATGGTGGCCCCAGAGAGATTTCCTCTCTGCTTCCCTGACCCTTGAGATTTTACACTCTGAGAAGCAAGCCACCCTGTCAAACAGCAACCAGAACTAGCCAAGGATAAATGGGGCTGGATTTGGGCAGACTGAGCTGGGGATTCAGAGTCTGGATTTCTGGGCTTGAAGTCTGGTTCTGATGGTTGTTATCTGGGTAGCTCTGGGCAGGTTGCTTATTCTTTCTGAGTCAGCTTCCTTGTAGATACTCCAGTAAGTGCTGGTGGTGGTCCACCCAGATCCCCATTACCTGGCCACTCCATCCTCCCCCAGCTGCCGTGTGTGGTGGCCCTAATAGCGCACAGGTTCTCCCTTCTTGGTTGATGGGAACTATCTTGCTGGGAAATGTCCAGAAATTTACATCCCTTTCCTCTCTTTGAGTCAGCCCATAGCCACATCCTTGCTTCTCTTGCCCTTCTCTTGCCCTGCCCTGCTTCCCTCACTCCACACCTCCTGAGATTCGCCCTTGATAAATTGCATGCTCAAGAATCCCTATCTCAGGGGCGCCCGGTGGCTCAGTCGTTAAGCATCTGCCTTCGGCTCAGGTCATGATCCCGGGGTCCTGGGATCGAGCCCCGCATCGGGCTCCCTGCTCCGCGGGAAGCCTG